GATCAATATCAACTTATCAACTGCAATTTTTATATGGTTAAGTACTATAAAAACTTGAATAATATAGAAATAGAACTTTCAATAATATAAAAATTTGACCAAATTGCATTTCATACCATTATTACAAAAAAAGCAATTGGAATCATACAACTCATTAAGAAGTTTTATAATAGAGCATAAGTAAAAACTGAATAGAAGATAGAACTATATATTCCTTGTCTGTCTGATATTTGGATGTTCTATATTCTTCAAATTCTTCCATCTCTACTACCAATTACCAATTAATATGATAAAAACCTATAAAATTAATATAAAAGAAAAATAATAATTATTTTAGAAATGGGGTAAAAAGAAAAATATTATCTTACAAAATATTCCACAGACAAAATTCATAAGCAATCTTACCGCTCAAACCTAACAAGCAAAATTATCCATCATATGTTTTTTATGGATAGCATAAAAAATGAGCTTCAGATAAAATCAGATCTGTAAAATTCAATGCATAAGAGATAAAATTTTGCATCAGAATATACGAAGAGAAAAAATTATAAGATTTATTAAATTAAAAGAAGTTATGTGCTTTGATTCTTATTTTTGACGTATTCAATGGGAAGGGTTAAAGAAGCAAGTTGGAAGAAAACAACAGAATTTATTCTGGGTTGTTTAACTGAAATATAACATCTTCAACACAAGGGAAAATAATTGCATTACATGAAATATAATTAAAGAAAGCTATTCATTTTGTCTTGTAAGAAAATTTTTGGTTAAGTGTTGTTCTGTAGTACAAATAATTATCTTCTAATTCTTGTATAAATATGTTCTGTTGTCCCATTTCACAAAGTGCTTTGTAGAATGTATCAACAATTTCAGTAGCCGTATGTGGTGGTGGAAAATGCAAAAAACTCAATGCACATTTCTATTAACTTCCACTGCGAATCAATATAATGAGCTGTGACTATCATATATGAAATTCTCTGATTTTTTGACTTCCATAAATCTGTGGTAAAACTTATTTTGTTAATGCCCTTTAAAGCATTCTTCAATTTTTTTTCTCCCTTCCATACACTTGTATGACATCATTGCGTGCTGTTGCCCGTGAGTAATTCACAAAAAAAGGTGACATAAACTTTAAAATTAAGTTGAATCCAAATTCTCCAACAATAAAAAATGGTTTGTCATTAATTAGAATGTAATGTGCTATCATCTCCCTAACTTTTTGATGATCATATTTAAATGTTGTCAAAATTCCACCATCTTGACTGCTCTGAGAGAATGAATTTTCTATATATGAGGGTTGGAAGTGTAAGATTTTTTGCTTTTTTAATGCATGAATCCTAGCAGCACATTGGTCCAAATGTCTTTTAAATTGTGTAGCACCAGTAACTCCAATAAGTAGTTGTTTTTTACAATGCACACATTTTCCTTTTTTTTGCCCATTAGGAAGCATAACTTCCTTGAACTCATGCCAAACTTTAGATCTTTTTTTTTTTTTTTTTATCTTTTATTTCTTCCTATAACATCATCAACTTCTTCAATATAATCCACTTGATTTTCATTAGTCCACTTTTCAACCTCTTCGTCAATCTCATTGTCATCATTATGTGTATTATTCTCATTCATAGGTTGACTACCAACATAAGATTGAAGATGGTCATCAAGTCTTCCAGTCTCAATATGATCCCCATTCATACTAACTGGTGTTGACATTATAAAAAAAATGATAATAACATAAGAATTGAAAATATAGTTAACTTCTAAAAACTAATTCTAATTTTTTTTAATTGCAAGTAAGAGAATCAAAGAAGTAATATACATCCACATGTACATCCACAATGAACAAATCAAATAACCAAGAGAATCAAAGAATCAAGCCAACATAGTGTTCATCTTAGTAGCAAAAATCTCAAACTTCTGCTTCTCTGTGGAGAAGGAAATTACATCTGCCATTAATCATGAAAATAAGACTACAACTTTGCTATGCATAACCCACTGCAGAATACCTTGTTTATCAAATTATGGAATCCTCCTTCAGCACTTTCAATGCAAACCAAATACAGTGCAGAAAACAAGGTGTTTTTTAATATCAGCTACATAATGCAGGACAAATCAAACAGCAAATGAGTACTGCTGTTACAACAACAAACTATAAGCAGCCAACTATATAGCAGTAAATTATATCAGTCTATAATTATATTTTTGGATTCAATTAATCATATTATTCATTATTAAATAAACAACAGGCCATGATGCTCATAAAAATGAATATTTTATTACTATTACTGGAGATACTATTTTTGGAACGATATTATTTTTGAGTTTGGAGATGTAATAATTTACATAAGTCAATTGGATGAGTTATTGCTGTGCAAGGAGCTTGATAATAATCATGTGGATGCTTTTGCTCATTTTATAATCCAGAAGAATGCACTTTGCCCAAGGCTTAATCAGCCATTTGTTTATGTTTCAAGTTTCCATTGGGTTAGTTTGCTATTTGTACTTATTAGTTCAACACTTGTTTACAGTTTTAATCACCAGTTTTATTTTATCTGTTCCAGGGTTACTACGTACAAGCAAAAGAGACCATCACAACTAGCTTCGTCTCTCATATAAACAGAACACTTATTAGGAACGTAAATTTGGCCCTTGTTCCTATAATAGACAATAAACATTGGACAATTCTTGTATGCAATTTGAGAATGAAATGGTGGGAGTTCTATGATTCATTACCAAAAAAAACACACAAAGCCATACTCCCAGAAGTTGTAAGTTATACCAACCTTTAATTTTTATTTTAGGAGTAACATCATTGTATGTTAATTTAATTTAAATTTTCCAGATTTCTCATTTCTATAATGATACAAAGGACGCTTTTGACAACAATATCACGAAATTGCCGATCAAGGAATTTATAAATGTGCCAACACAAAATAACAGCGCGGACTGCGGCATGTTTATTTGTAAATATATAGAAGTTGTTATACAGAAGGAACGTGTGAAATGGTATCTTTATCTAAACTGGCAATCTAGTATGCCACTATTCAGAGCAGAATTAGCTTATGCCCTGTTATGTACTAAAATTTAATAGATTATGGAGTAAATGGTGACCTTATTTTGTATATTTCTTGTGTATTGTTAATGTACATTAATAATTTATTTATCCTAACGAAAAATCAAAGCAATACCGATTAATATTTGACGAGTACCGAGTACTAAAATGTATTGATACCGAGCAATATAAAAATAGATCAGTATTCCTCAGTATTAGTTGAAATATACTCGATACCAAGTTAGTACAGTTCAGTTTGGTTTGAATATCGAGCAATACCGACTTCTGTAATCAAGTACCAAGTAAAAAAAGGACTAATACCGAGCATATTTGAAAACAAATCAGTATTTCTCGGTATTAGTTGATAGCTCGGTATTAGACTAATACTACCAATTTATAACAGTACTACAAAGATCATAAAATTGTGAAATTCACGTATACAATCAGAAAGTCATATTCATAATACAAATATCTCAAAATTCACAAATTACATGAAAGACGATTGACTACCTGAATCTCCAGTTGTAAAGTTTATGATTGTTGGAGGATTCCTCTTAGTAGGTTTAACTTTTTTTGTCTTCCTTTTCTCCCAGTGATCCTTTAATCTTGCATTTGATACGCCCTTTGGCCGACACTTCTTAGGATCTTTAATAGATTCATTATCAGCTCCAGAAATTGGTTTATTCTTCCTACCAATCTTGATGGAATGTACTTTTGCAGCCAATGTACTCAGATCATCTATCACACACATTTCAGCCTCCTCATTACCTTGTAATTATGTGCTAATTTTATATGCAAATCGATTGATATAATTTCTGAACATCAAGTTGCTGGACCCCTCAATAGGTTGGCAAGCATTGATACCGAGACATGGGATCTTCCCTCTAGCATATAAATCTTTTTGAGCACTGGCTGACCATCTTGGGAGTAGATATTTAACGAGAATATTAATAATATCTAACTGTCTCATAACTCTCATGCAATGAGAACATAATATACCCATCATTTCGAATTTTGCACAGCTACATTGAATGATACCTTCTAAGGAATTAAAATTGACAATCCAGTTGTGTAAATCAGTAGAGTTGTCTATGTTCGTTATGGAAAACCTTGATAAATCCAGTGAGGAATGTTCAATGCATAGTCTACCAAGTTCATGTAAGAACTCATATTCAAAAAATGAATACAACTTTCTTGAATAAAATTTTGCAGCTTACTTCAAAATTGAGCAACTTTTCATGTAAGGTTCTATATCTGTTTGACTATATTTGAATTTTTCATCTTGTTCATTCCGACGCCATGTCCTTATCATCTTTTCAATTCCTAGGAAACACTCAGTAATAGTACTTGTTGGCTTGGAACAACCATGACATACATGATTGGTGGACTCACTACGTTGGGTTGATAAAATGCCAAGGTTAAAATAATCTTTGTTGAATGCAGTATACCACTTATCCCTGATTTTGTAGAGATCATTCAACCATTGATGGCTTTGCAGGTTTCCTTCTGAGATCATTTCAGTCCATTTTCTCTCAAATTCCTCCACAGAATCACATTTCTTGAAACAATAAAAAAATAAGAATTTAACTATGTTGTTGCTGTTAAAGCACCATACCTTTGAAGGTGCCTTCTTATACATATGTCATTGACACAATCGATGATGTGTATTAGGCAATGCAATCTCTATTGCCCTAGCCATGGCTTGGTCCTGATCAGTAAAAATAGTTATGGGATGTTTGTTATCCATAATTTTTAGAAATGTTCTAAAAAGCCAGGTAAAAGAATCAATAGTCTCATCAGATAAAAAAACAACTCCTAATAGAACATTTTTCCAGCGATTATTAACTCCGACAATAAGGGCACAGGCTAAGTTATATTTATTTAAACGATAACTTGTATTGAATATAATCACGTCCCCAAAACAGTCATAATCAATTATACTAAGACCATCAACCTAGAAGAAATTCAACAAACAACCGTCTTCATCAGTTTGTACATCCCAGGAAAATATGTTGTCATTAATTGTCCGTTCTTTAAACAACTTGATGAGTGAATTAGTATCTCCAGTCTCTATCTTGGCTCTTCTTTCTTTTTGTATGTAGTTGTATGCATCCCGCTTCGTGAAAACCAGATTACCCACACCTCCAACTTCATCAGATAGGTATGTAAATGCATCGACAGTTCTTATCTCAGCTTCTGACATAGATTTCAAAACAGCTGCATTCTCATCACTAATGCTCCTAGATGACCTGAGCAAATGTTGATCATCCGATCTAGCAAGTTCGTGATTGTGACTCTCTATAGATTTATTCACCGTCCAAATCCCATCTTGACTCACAGCAAATCTTACCATGACAGGACATCCAGTTCGTGTACAAGATTTTTGATATTTTACCTTCGTACCCATCTCAGTCTCCTTCTTGAAACATGCTTTAGAATAAACAAAATCCTTTGATTTGATTTTCTTAGTATTTGGCCAGAAATGGTGATGTTCTTTTCGAACACTAAATCCATTTGAATGCGCGTAATGACAATACTTTTCATATGCTTCCTTCTCAGAGTTGTAAACACCCTGTGAAAAAAGATTCAAACTTCCGGTTTAGCATTATATCCACCTATCAATACCGAACTTAATACCGAGCTAATACCGAGCAAGTTGAATGATCGGTACTAGGACGTAATAAGTTGTCTTTGCTCGGTACTAACGTGCTATGAATTTATACTGAGCTATACAAATCAGTACCGAGCTAATACCGAGCAGGTTGAATGATCGGTACTAAGTTGTATTTGCTCGGTATAAGCTGTATTTGCTCGGTAATACTTCATAAGTATTATGTGCAAATATTTCATACCGAGCAACACTATGTAGTACCGATTAAAACCGACTCACATCAAAACTATACCGAATGTTAAGGAATTACCTTTATTACATTAGAAAACGCTTCATCAAAATTCAACGTCGGGGTTTCATCGAAATCTTCGAAGGCAAAAGCAACATTCGTACTCATCTCATTCAACACTTGACGATTTCTTCTCCTACAGTATTAGAACCCTAAAGACTGGATAACATCTTACGTGTAGTACACAAAAGCTTATTATACCTGTGGTAAAAGCAGCGTATTTTTTTACATTTCCCGCCCAATTCTATTACAACTAGACGAGAATACCCGAAACATTTTAAAAAACTGCAAAAGAATATGGGTTTCCATCGGGTCAATCCGGGTAAACGGGCTGCTACGTGGCGCCGCATTACTGCATACCGAACGTAGAGCTGCGTTAGGTGGGAAGACGCAATAAAAATTCGTCGCCTCCGCTCTCCCTTTTTTCTTTTTTGCTCATGGCTTTATCCCACACCTCCACCACCCAAAGCTTGTTCGCCTCCTCTTAACTTAACTGAAATAATCTTCTTGTTGAGAGAAACTCAACTTTCACCCCGTATCTTCTTTCACTATCCCCTGCCCCTCCTCACAAGGTGGTCCTGTTTTTCTCTCAACAGCTTGATGAAGTTTCAGCTAAATGGAACATATCTCTGGTGGGGTACTCCCTCGGAGCATTGTTAGTTGCTTAAAATTTTCCTTGATGGTGAACTTGTCCAGTTGCAGGTCCAGTACAATTGGAAACCAGTGCCTTGTCCCAGTTGTGGCTTCTTTGCACACTCCCATGCTCAATGTCCTTCAAACACCTCACCTGATGATCATATTGCCTCCACCAAATATCCTTGACATAACTGCTCGCATGGTCGTAATTTTACCAGCTACTAGAGAAGTATTGTACACTCCCCTAAATCCAGAGCAACTAAACCTTCATCTTCCTCTAAAGGCAAGCCCCCTCGACCCCCTATCTCTTTACCCCACTCAATCGAACCTAATCCCATCCCCTAATAATCCAACCAGGTAAATCATGTTTCAGTGCCCCAATTGGGGGCTACCCTATATTTTGCTGGACAAGTCTATCCCCTTGGCATTTTCAAGGTTGATATTACTAATCATAACTCCCTTAGAACTAGCTCATCCACTTCACAGCCTCCTTCCTTAAAAGCAAAAAAAAAAAAAAAAATCACGAATCTCACTACCCAACCTTCTTCTCCTAAAGGGAATATCCCAGATTTTGATTCCTTGTCCCTTCACAACTAATTTGATTATCTTCAAGGCACCTCTATCTCCTTTCATATGGAGCCCAACAATAATCAAATTCCGCCATCTGCGGCTTCTAGCATTGTTTCTATTCTTTGTCCCGATGGTTACTCAATTATTCCGTGATGTTAGCTGTTGCTTGTGCCTTTCGATCAATTTTGGGTCATGTGGGCTCTCTATTATTACTAATTGCTTCTCTGTTTGATATATGAGTCCTAACATCATTTTGCTCAGTTTTGTTTCCTAGTTCCTTACAGGTTGGTGCTATACCTTTTCTTTTTAGGTTGTTAAGTTCTTTTTGTTCTCACAATCATTTGGGTAGTGGGTTTAGGTTCATTTATTTCGGGCGACCATGTTGCTTTTATAGCTTATAAGTTTTCTATTTTTCTTTTTATTTTAAAATGTTTACATTTCTAACGTAATGAAATGGGCTAAATTTTTACACTTGTAACCCCTTTAATAAAATAAATTAAAAAGAATATAAATTATGTTTTTTATAATTTGCTGTTAAAAAAAAAAACAAAAAAAAAAAAACAAAGTCTTTAACCAAATAGTAGGCCAGGTCCGGTTCAATCTCTACGGTCCAAAAGGAGTCAAATTCTGTCTTGGCGCGGCCCCGCCGAGATATGGCGCTTCGAGAGCGCCGCCTTTTCTTTCTTCGTCGCCTCTTCTCCTCGTCTTCCTCTCCTGCCAGCGTTCCCCTCCTCTGGAGATCCGAAAATGAAGAACTTGGTGGGGAATCAACCGTCGAGATCCTCTCATGGGGTAGAGGCAGTTCAGGCCAGCTTGGCGGCGGAAAAGAGGAGATACGCTTCTACCCGACCCCCGTAGCTTCTCTCCGTCTTCCGAAGGGATTCCGCCTTTCCCCCACCTCCGGTCGACTCGACTTTTACAATGTTTCAGCCGCTGGTGACGGTGGCGCCGATGTAGAGGTGGGCATCTCATGCGGATTGTTCCACTCGTCAGTTCTGGTTAATGGGCGGTTCTGGATATGGGGCAAGGGTGATGGAGGGAGGCTTGGCTTTGGGCATGAGAATCCGGTCTTTGTTCCGACTCCTAATCCTAACCTGGACGAGGTCCGGTGCATCGCCCTGGGTGGCCTTCATTCTACTGCGCTCACCCGTTCCGGCGAGGTTTTCACATGGTCAGTTCTTGGAATTTCTTAGGTGCTGCCGAGTGTGTCTTTATATACGTTTTAGTTGATTTGAATTGTCGTGCAAATTATGCCAAACCATGTTTCTGTAAATTCTCTTATTGATTGCAGGTCATGACTTGAAAATGTATTTTTAACCAAAAAAAGCAGGTAGAATTTCGTTAAAAGACTAGAAATTTTAGTGAACCAAATCCCCTTGAATTATAAAAATCAAGGCTAAGCAGTTTTGAGTTTTGACTCGAGTATGAAGCAAGCATTGGGTTTTACGAAGTTATGCCATTCAGAAAAAATAAGGCCAATGGGACAAGTAAAAGTTTTTTTTTTTCTCAGCCATATATGTTTAACACCTGTATTAAACTGAAATGGCATGTTTTCCTTTCTACTCAGCAAGAAAGTTCTACCTTCTTGAATATCAATGTGACTCCTCTACTCAATTGGCAAAAGTTTGCAGGGGTTATGGTGGATTTGGAGCGTTAGGCCATTCTGTCTATCACAGGGAGCTTCTACCTAGACTTGTGGAGAGTACTTGGATGGGAAAAATATCCCAAATTGCTACTAGTGGCGCTCATACTGCTGTTATTACTGATTCAGGTTACTCTTCTTGCCATCAAAATTGAACGCTAAAGGGTGCTTTAATGCCATTGATATTATAAAGTTGCTATTTTATTCAGCCAGATTTTAATTGATTTGGCTAATTTTATACTGAGAACTGTATAAGATCTGTTGACTTCTTTTTACTTCTTTAATAAATTGATAATTTAATAATTTGATACCATTAGTCTTTGGAATAAGGGAAGTACTAAGGTTTTTTTTTTTTCTTTTATATTAATGAAAAGATTGTTGATCGAGCACATTTGCCATCTAAAAAAAAAGAGTCCCTGTTGGATCTTTTGTTGCAGGTGTGTTGAATTGGAATTCAGTTGGGCTTCTTAATGTAATTTAAGTTTTGTAGGTTTTGGCTTATGACTTTGTGCAGGCTTATTTGGTAACATATTCACAAGGCAATTAAGGCTTCCCGGATATCAACTTCTGTCGGTGATTAGTGCAATTATGGCTTCTGCATCTAATGGATTCCCTTGTACATTAGATTCATATTCAAGTATGCGTTGGCCACCCATGTTATCAAATTAGTAATGTATAGGTAGTGTGTATTGTAGTGAAATAGGAATAAAGTTGGTATGATATTGTGTCAAGTGTTGAAGGTAGAATTGTTGTGTGAATAAGGTTAGGGTTTAGATGATTCTAGAAAATTAGTTATTATCAAGGATGCCATTTATTTGTTCAGTGCTGATACTTATAGAATCAGAAGAAAATTTTAAAAACTACTTTTGAAGTTCTCTTGAATTGAGATGTTGGTTGGGTTCTTAGACGGATTGTGGGGGGTATTTAATATGATATAGATAGAAAATCGGTGAAGCTTGATCTTGCAATAAAAAGCACATACTTAAAGAAACTAATAGGAAGTCATGTTATTTTAAAAAATAGAGCTACTAAGTCATTAGAGAAAATTTTTAGTTGAAGGTTTTACTGACAACATAAGGGAAGTACTATGTATGGATCCTATTTCGTAGTAGTTTATTGAAAGTTACTAAAAATGTAACTATCCATTAATAAGGTGAAGTCTGATAGAAGTAATTTTTCTGAGATAAGATAATGAAAGTAAAATATGAGAACTTCCCTTTCAAGATAGATTGTTTAAATGAAAAATTGAAAGTTGAGCCAACCTTGGCTTGGGTTAAAATGACTAATTGTATTAAGTATATTACCATGGAGGTTTTAGGGGAGTTTAGACAGATAATATCTAAGAAAAAGTGATTTCAAAGTTGGGAACTATACTAGGTTGTTTAGAAAAAATGCTTATAATAATAAAAAGACAAAAATATTATTAAGATATGCAATAATTATAAGGAAGATAGAAGTTTGGTAAAAATGGTGTTAACAAATCCTGGTTGGACTGTAGTCTGACGACGAAGATCAGAAGGACAGCGTTAGGTAGAAGTCCAACAATGGAAAGAAATGAATCTGGTACGGAGGACTCGTAATATCTCTATAGATCCGGCAAAAGCGAAAGACCCAGTCGCCCCGCCCAGGGCTCGAGGGTGAGCCATACGAGAGTGAGTCGAACCAGTTTGCGTTCTTGGTTTGGTTCAGGCCCCTCTCGATCTTTTTCGTATAGGGGAAAGGGGAAGGAGTCTAAATCAATGGACATTAATGAACCATCATTGATGGACGTTGCACATGACACGATCAATTCAACTCGACGGTCCGGCGCTAATAGAAGCTAATAGAAGTAGCTTACTCTCCGTCTAGCGAAGCAGGGCTTTTTTCGTAGTAATAGTGGGCGGTCTCATGAGGTGCGTAGCAAAGAAGATGTTCAACCAGATTGACTCATCCGACGAAAAGCGATTTAGACTATATGAGTATATAGAAAGAATAAAGAGAATAGGTTCAATAAGAGTACGAGGTGCGTAGCAATGAGCGGTTCAGGCGCAAACGAGCTAACAATCTAAGGGCCCCGCTTAGTCATCACGGGGATTGCGACAGGGAGACCCATTGGCGCCATCACTCTTCATTATTGCGGAGGAGGTCCTTACTTAGTATAGTAGGGGCTTTTCGCTCGCTTTCCAATCTCACAAGCTTGTCAATGCGCACAAAAGTTGTTTCATGTTGGCATGCCCCAGCTAGAAATAGGTTGATTGTTTCGCTCCTGTATCTTCCAAAAAGGAAAAAGATTTCTGAGAGTTGTTTCATGGATCCGCAAGAGAGTACTTGGGTTCTCCCAAGAAAGAAAAAGCGTATCATGCCTGAATCTAACCGGGGTTCGCGGTGGTGGAGGAACCGGATCGGAAAAAAGAGGGATTCTAGTTGTCAGATATCTAATGAAACCGTAGCTGAAATTGAGATCTCATTCAAAGAGAAAGACAGCAAATATCTGGAGTTTCTTTTTTTATCCTATACGGATGATCCGATCCGCAAGGACCATGATTGGGGTTCATTGCTTTGCTGACACACTAGGCTACCCTTCTCCGAAAGCTCCGCGGGACCACCTACCACTAGTCTTGTTCGGCCGGAGGGGTTTATTGCACTCACAAAACCGCCGGGATGCTGGCTCCCGCAGAGGTTTTTCATGGCGATCATTGTGTGGGCTTGAAGTTCGTTAGCTTGTGGGAGAGTTGTGAGTAAGAGTAAGCGAACGAGAGAGAGATCTAGAGCAGAGGGTCTCATCTTATGAATCATAGTCACTTGTGAGCACTTAGCTGGAGAGAAAAAAATATGAGAGATAACAGCGAGGTGTAGTGCATGAGAGAGATGGATAGCAAAAGATGTTGCGGACGTGGATTGGAGATATGTGGGAGAGTGAGCAATTTGTAGGAGAATGATGTGCGAGAGAAAAAAAAAGTTTAGAGAGAGGAGATAGAGAGAGGGGGCATCAAGTTATATGGTTGTGGCATACATTGTGGAGGGAGTAGGTGTCATTGCAACTAGGGCATCATTAGAAGAGGCTGATGTCCGTTTGGGCAGAAATGAACAATAAAAGCTCAAGTTAGGGTCATATCTAATCCATTAAGTCATATAACCCTTTTTTAATTTCTTTCAAACCTAATTAAATGATCTAAAAATAACTTAAAAACAAAGAAAGAACTAGTTCTGTAAAAACCCATTAAGCTAATTTTTGTTAATCAATGCTTAATTAAAACATCAACTTGATTTGAGCAAGCATGATTGATCCCAGTATTAAGGCAAACAAAATCCTCAATCAACCATATAAACCAATCACATATTGATTTAGATAGGGAAAAAATAGATATCACCAATTGGGAGATTCATGCAATCAAATGAGGAGAATTGTGCACTGAAAGTTGTTGTCAAGTATTGCAAAGTGCTTGAAGAATACATCACAGTTAAAAATGTGCACATAAGAATTGAAAGAATACATTTTATTTAACTATTGAGTTGTATATGAACTGACTAAAGGTGAGTAATATCTTATCAAGTTCATTTATTTACTTTCTTATTGAGTTTGTTCAAAGTTTGAACATAACGCGAGTTTTAAAATCTTGTTCAAGTTTGTTTATTATATTTCTTGTTGAATTTGAATTATCATTGAGCTTTAATCAAGCCTAACTAATTTTATGTTTGATGCTAATGATTAAAAAATATAGCCTAATTACTAAACTTAATAGGATTTATAGATTTAATCAAAATTGGCATAATTTCTTGGGTATTATTTAAGGTTCTCATGTACTTCAAAAATTAATGAATAAGATTTAAATCTACACATCCGGCTATGTATATGATATTTTCTTCATACTGTATCTTTAATAATATGCATAACTTTTAAAATGTATAAGATATTGAAAAATTGATATGAGAACAGTTAAATAAGAAATTAAGCCTTCATTTAATGCACATTTCATTTATTTTTTATTGAGCTACTTGTTAAATATCAAAGGTGATGCACAGGAGTGTGCGAAATATAGAGGAATTAAGTTAATGTGTCATACTTTAAAATTATGGGAGCGAGTTATGGAGCGTAGGTTGCGACGTGATACTAATGTTTCTCAAAACAAATTTGGATTCTTGCCGGGTAGGTCTATTATGGAAGCAATACATTTATTGAGAGGTTTGATGCAGAAATATAGAGAGAATAAGGAGGAATCTATGTATATGATATTTATTGATTTAGGAGAGAAAGCATATGAATAACAGTTCCAAGAGAAGTGCTATGAAGAAGTTTTTGAAAAGAAAAGAAGTTAATAATGCTTATTTTCAAATCATTAAAGAATATGTATGCAGGAGCTATTACTTGTGTTCAAACGCAAGGTGGATTTGACCTAGTAATTTTCCTATTTCGGTTGGATTTACATTAAGGATCAAGCCTATTAAGTCACATATCTTTTTGCTTTAGTCATGGATGTTCTCATTAGCATTTGCAAGAGGATGTACCTTGGTGTATGCTTTTTGTTGATGTTATTCTTCTTGTTGATAAGACTAGAGAGGGAGTTGAAGATAAACTCAAATTATGGAGGTCAACTTTAGAGTCTAAAAGGTTTTACACTTGAGTAGATCTAAAACTGAATATATGGAGTGTAATTTTAGTTAGCAATAGTACCTAGTGATGGGATTGTGAATTTGGGCGATCAAGTCATTAATAAGAGTACAAACCTAGTTAATTTATAAATATAATTGGATCTACATTGTTACAGAAGTGGATGGGTGAAGATTGCCGGGATGGATAATTATTCAAGCAGGCAATTCAAGTTTGGAAGTTGATGTATGAGGTAATTGCATTGGGCTTAATGTGCGATAAGAAAAGTTCCCCCCCCCCTCCGCGCCCCGAATCATACAGGTCGAAAATCTTAATAAATGGTGGTGAAACTTGCTAATGCTTTAATATGATGCCCATGAATGGGCCCCATTATAAAAGCAGAAGCCATAATACTAAGTTTAATTGTGTAGGATGAGAGTATGATCTTAGGTCAATGAGTGGCTTGACCATTAAGATAGGATACTAGTAAATGGATGTACATATCGTGAACATAGGTTGGGAGCTTGGAGTAGCTCAGTGGATACGATTAAGATTATGTAGAGAGATTTCACCTTCTTAGATTGGTTTTGGTCACATTTAAATGAAGGCCCTCTCCAGATGACAAACGGTTAGGAAAAGTTGGTATTAGATTTGACTTATGTTAAGAAGATAGAGTAAAGAACCTAAAAGAACTTGGTATAGAATAAATATACAAATGAGCTTTCTTTCATTAGATTTCTTAAACATCGAGAATTTTGACTTTTAAACCTCGGACACAACTATGGCGAAAAAGGATTCATGTAGCTGACCCTACGTAATGGACAAAGGCCTTGTTGTTGTTGTTGTTGTTGTAACTTGTTAATATCAAATAATTATGTTAAAATATAATGAACAGCATGTAACTTAATGTTGGTAAATTTGTTCATTTATATTAGAGAGCTTCTTAATTTTTGTTTGAACTTATTTAATTGCATAAATAAACAAAATAGAAATGATTGAATGTGTCTTATTTGAAATGACCGT